AGAGAGAGAGAGAGAGAGAGAGAGACAGAGAAAGAGAGAAAGAGGGAGAGAGCAAGAGCTTCTGTTGCCAGTTCAGGCTCTAGGCTCCGGTCTCCAGCAACAGCAGCGCCATCGACTCCATCTCCAACCCATCCACAATGCATAAAATATCCAAAACAGCGGCACTCAGAGGAGTTCGTGCCATCGTTTCCCCCACCTCTGATGCTTGGTCGCAAAAGACCGGCAAAAAGCAGCAACCGGTAAAATCGAATGTTCACTTGGCCCACACACACACACACACTCGCACGCGGAGAATTCTCTCTCTTTGTCAGATAGACTCCCACGCACACACACACGCGCATAATGTTTGAAATTTTGCACACATTTACAATAATTGTAAATGTGTTGAAAATCGTTTGCACAACTGTGAGCAACCAACAGCATGTGTATGTGTGTGTGTATGTGTGCGTGTATCTCAGTGCTTGCTCATTTGTTGAGGGGAAATGGCCTTTGTCTGTCTCGGTCACTATATATAAATATATATGTGTGTGTGTGTGTGTGTGTGTATGGATGTGTGGGTGCGTGTGTGTGCGTGTGTGTGCGTGAGTGGGTTCTGGCGGTGAGCGCAGCCATGTTTTTTTTCAGCGAGCTTCAACGCGCAAGCGCCATAGCGTACACTGAACGAAATTTTATGAGGATAAGTATGGAGAGATAGCTAAAAATGCAACATGTGATATGAATAAAAGCTTAAAACTTTATTTAAAACTCTTTCAATTTGAACTATTTAATATTTTTTTTTTCAATAGGAAATACTAAGAAATACTAGAAAAAGTAATGTTCTATGCAAAAATATATATTTTTTATATGTGAATTAAGAAAATAAATATGTATCTTTTCCAAATATTTTCAAATGACCTTTCGATAATTTGCGTAAAACAAAATAGATCAAAAATTATTTTTTCTGTGGGTATTCAAGAAGTCCTGCATCAAAAAAAAAAAAAAGCATCTATAACTTCAATGTTTCTAACTATGCTTCTTAATTTTTTATGGATAGATGAGTTTGGCTTCATTAATAGATTCGATGATATGAAAAACATATATTTCTATCACTTTTAACGTTTTCCTAAAATATTTTTATTTATTTATAGATTTTTTTTGGTTAATAAAAAACTTCTGGCCTTTAGAATATACATTTTTTCCTTCATGAATGAATCATAGTTAAAATTAATAATAAACCTATAATTCAATTTAGGTTTATACACATAAAAGATATAAAAATATTAATGAGCTTTGTAATTAAATATATAATAATTTAAAAAAAGAAGATATTTACTTCATATAAACCAACAGACTATATATAAAATATCTTATTTTTTAATTTTAAATTATATTTAAATTAAATTATTTAAATTATAATCTAACGATCCCTGTAAATTAAAATAAAATAGGAAGTATAACTTGCAAGAGCCCTATATTTAGATAATGACTACAACTTTCTTCAAACACTTCAGAGATCTCTCTTTACTTTACTTCAAGTGAACATAAAAATACATAAATATTTTGGTATACCCATTACAAGCAATGAAAAAATAAAATTTCAAGATATACCAAGCCGCACCCAGTTGCCCCATTGCTAAGTGCTGCAGTTCCTTTATGCATTGGAAATTCAGTCATTACTGCTAACCGCATTAGTGATGCTACCCCATACACACAAACACACATAGAAGGAAACCCCACACTAATACACACATACACCCATATAACCATCCCCTGGTAGGACAACAAGTTACACGTACTTTGGTCGTGCAGGTTGCAAGCAAACATGACAAACAAAATCCTGCCCAGGAGCCACTCAAGATACGCAGCCAGGCAATGGGGAGCTAACAGGCAACCATGGAGCTATGGAGCTGCGGAGCTGTTGGCCTTGTGGCTGCCACCTGGCAACGCATCTGTGCGCCGAGCTATGCTTGGCAACGGCTTTTATAGGCGGGCCACAAGCTCAATGGCGTTGGCTTTTAGCTGCGCACAACATGGCGTATGAGCAATGTATACGAATAGATACGATACACACACACACACACACACAGATATGTACATATATTTAAATTTGTGTATGTAGAGGAGTGCGTAGCGTGCTCTCCCAGATATTGCCATGGCAACCTTGACTACCTGTGCTCATGCCCCGCCAGCTTAGCCAGGGCCAGCTGCCACGTCAGTCGCTGGTGGCCGCAGCTGCCACCTTCGGAGTCCTTGCTACATGTTGCGGCCATTTTTCGCTTTAGATTTTATTTTTTCGTTTTTGTGTGTGTGTTTTTTTTTTTGGTAACGGCTTCGGCTTTCAGCTTTCGGCTTCGGCCGCCTTTGTACAGTTTTTCTGGCGCAGACTTTTGGTTTTAATGGATCGATGGATCCTTTGCAGCAACATCCTGACAGGCAGGTTACAGTTCCAACGTTTCGCCACAGCGGCCACATTTTGAGGCACTTTTTGGCACCCTTTCCCTATAACTACAACTTTTCCCGTCCATATGTGTCTATGTGTGTGTGTGTGTGTGTGTGGCAGGCAAAGTTTTCCTTTTCTGGCATGTGCCAGGGCAAACTGTTTTCATATGTGAATGCTGCCTGTATATAGACAGCATATCTCTCCACATACATATATAGGTATGTATGTATACATGCATGTATGCATGTGGCATGTGGGCATGTGGCGCATATGGATGTGAATATGTATATGTGGCCTGGCAAGCAGCGGGCACAGGTGGGGCTACAAGGCGTGTGCTGATTAGATTTTAGGCTTGCCTGAAAGCCAAGATGCGGCCAGGTAACGACTTTTCGCCCTACAGCAGAAGGCATTCACTCGGCGCATTTGTAGGTTAGCTGGTTAGCCAGTTGCTTTTAGCTGGCTTAAAGTGCTGATAGCTCCATAAAAGAGCACTTGAGACACGGCCCGTTAGCCCGTTTTAACGGTACCCAAAGATAACCCAAAAAGGGGGCTGTCTGTAAATACAGATAAAGCTAAAGGCAATTGAGATGACTTAGATACAGATAAAGCTGAAGTTTTTGGGCTGTGCTCAATATTTCAGTTGATTTTTTACTCAATGCATATCTAGGGGCTTCTAAATAATTCTCAAAATAATTATAAGCCGGTTTTTATGTTTTGTGGTAAATTACTGGCTACTACATCAGGGGCAATAGATGCATTAATGTGATTTCTTCGTGTTATATAAATTGAATTAGCAAAAATCAGGCCCCATTGGAATTGGGGCATCAATTGATTAAAGCTAAAATTTAATTGCCGATAAATACTAAATATATGCATAGACAAATTAAAAACCATTCAAATCTGAAACTCGTTTTGTTTATAAAGTAAACAATGAGGGATAATCAAATATTGAGGATCTTAGTCGGGCTCAGTCAGTATTTGAATTAAATTTATTTAGTTCTAGCCGTGTATAAAATTTTTTCTACGAGAAAAAAAAAAAAAAAATAAAATAAAAATAAAAAATAAAAGGAAATCAAAACTAAAATCGAAGAGCGAATATATTCAGCCTGCGCAAATTTGAAATTGCCAATACTTCTTAAGCACAGATTGGAAACCAAGATATTATTTCCAAAATTTTCAAAATCTATTAAGAAATATGACTGGTATAAAAATACTCAAGCAACGCTCAGGTTTCTAGCTATATTCCATAAAACTATTGCCATTCAAAATTGAGCACTTCTTAGTTCCAACCATGCTCAGCTTATGTTTATTAAAGTAACCAAAACTCAAAGCGCCTTTTCAATAGAATATTCCCAGAGAAAAATTGCAAACTCTAAGCTCAAACGTTGCATCAGGTGCAGTGACAGCTAAGTCCTACATATACAAACATATGTATATATTTTGTATAGCATACATACATTCAATATTTGCACTTGAGCAAATGCAAATAAAATATACTTTTCAATGGAAATTGATTTATTTACGGTTTGCTAGTCAACGAGACAAACAGAGACACAAAAAAAAGAGGAAGAAATATCAAATAAAAAGAAAAGACAAAAATAAACATAAATATATAAATCACCGAGCTACAAAAGTATCTTCAGTTAGAACCGCTTGCATCGGTTGCCTAGATACTCACTCGTGAATAACTGGCCAACGAGCATCGAGCAACTGCTTCAATTGCATTGGCAAATAACGAGGCACTCTCCCTCACTCTCTCCCTCTCTCTCTCACTCTTTCTATTGCAAAAATATTTATTTAACAAGTATTTCCATATAAACGTATTTTCCGTATTTGTTGTGCTATTTGATCTGCACAAAGGGCATTTTTAATATGTGCAAATAAACTGAATTTTCGAACAACAAACAGCCGTTGCCCTCTCAGCTCAGCTCAGCTCAGCTCTGCTCTGCTCGGCTCTGCCCAGCGAGATATAAAACCCTGACTGAATTTCAATATATTTATGCATTTGCAAATATTTAAATTAAAGTTTTGCATGCAAATAATGTCAAACAAATTCATTTTGCTTCAATGAGAAAATTAAAACCAGCTAAAATTGTAGGCTAATATTTGCAAAGCAAATAAATAGAGGAATAAGATTAATAATGAGAGACAATACAAAAGAAATAAAATAGGAGAAATATTTCTTATCAAAATATATATTAAAAAATATTAAATTTATTACATATTTATTGTAAGTTAAGTAAATTATTCTCTTCTTGACATCAATTCAATTCATTCAATACGAGTCTGCATGAAATATAAAACATTGAACTAAACTTTGCAGAAAATCCCTTTAAGGTATTCGCAATCTGCCATACGAAGCCAGTTACGCCTGATGCACTTGCTCGATTGACTGAGTTACTTGGAAAGGACTGAAAGCCTAATAAAATTATTTTTCGTCGATTGACAGCATTTGCGAGTTTACTTTTTGGCAGATGCCAACAGCATTTCCGAAACTCTCTCAGCGCAAATTAAATTTTTGGCAAACAGTGTAGCTGGAGGGAGATAGAGAGGGACAGAGGGAGACAGAGAGAGACTGTAATGGTCGCAAGCCAAACAAAAAAAATAAGGGTAAATAAAAATAACGAAAGAAATAGTTCAAAAAGTACGCGCGCTTGCAAAAGCTTTGAAAAGGTACAGCGAACCTTTTTCAGTGCTTGCAGCGCTGCATTGAGAGCTTTCGGTGGGTGCCGAAAAGTTGTCGCGCACGCGCAACAGCTGATCTTGTCGCGCTGTGCGAATTCTGCAGCGACAAATATTAGTGCAGCCAACTTTAGGGGCAATAAAACCTGTAAGCTTTTATCTACCCAAAGCTATATAAGCCGAAAAAGTGCAAAATTGAGCCCTTTTTCTAGAACTCCACGTTGCGACTTTACACTAAATCCATATATATATATGTATATAATATATATACATATATGGTGAGGAACTCGTGCGCTGCAATAATTAATAAAGGTACGAAGATTGGCATATTGTGGCATATTAGCTAAATAAAGCAACTTTTTTCTCTAGCGCAGCAACAAATTTTTCTTGACGCCCGTGTCAAATTTGGGCACGGCAATATAGAAAAGCCTGCCCTAGACACGGGCTCTGTTTTAATTTTTTTGGCCCATCAAGATCGATCGCAGCAACTTTATCGAAAGGCTGGAGGAACTTCAACAGCAGGCGGGGGAAACACAAACGTGAATCGTGGCTCATAAATTGCATAGTGACAATTAAACCTATAAAACTTTTAACCCCAAAAACTCTAAGCCGCGAAAATCTAAAAGTGGAAAAAAAAAAAACTACACACAGTCAAGAACAAAAACTCTAGTTCTACCATAATCAACTAAACGAAAAAAAAAAAAAGAACAAAAACCACACTTCAATTACATATGTGACGTACACTGTAAAAATTTTGCTACTAGCAACTAAAATAGTTCACCAAATTAAAAGAAGAAAAATGTAAAATTAAAACCCACGACTTAAAACTAGCATGAAAATAGAAAAAATAATACGATGACGTAAAAAAAAAAAAAAAAAAAAAAAAAAAAAACATCAATAACATAATAATGAAATAATAAACTTTATCATATATATGCATATATATATATATATATAGATACATATATGCACATATAAAAGTAGAACAATATCAAAAAAAAAAAAAAAAAAAAAAAAACATGAAGTAAAAGAAATAATAAAAGAAATTATATATAAATGTAGAACAAAAAAAAAAAATAAATAAATAAAAGAAAAAATTATTTTTGTTTAAAAAAAAAAAAATAAATAAATAAAAAATCGAAAAAGTAAGAAAGAAAAAATAATAATAATTTGAATAGATATAAATATAAAAAGAAGTATAAAAATGTAAAGGTAAAAAAAAAAAAAAAAAACAACAAAAACTGTGTGTTTGTCCGCCCCTATATTCTTTTTGTAACCTCAACGCCACGCTACAGCTACCACGAGGAAAGGCCTTTCATCGCTGGAGTGAAAAAATCTAAAGATCATGTAAGTGCTGGAAGATACCCTGTACTCCCACTCCCCCCAACCCCAAACCATTATATATTTTTTTACATGAATTAATATATACAAAAAAAAAAAAAAAAAAACAAGTAATAATATAATGTTTGGAAATAATTGCATGCAAGAATGAAGCAAAGCATATTTTTTTTTTTAAATTAAAATAATTTGTTTTGCAACCACATTTTTAAATAAAATTATTAAGACCATTTTTCTTTATATTTATATCTATTTGTTTGCCAAGTGAATTAAACTAAATGATTTCACCTAAATTATGAAAAAAAAGAGGTAAAATAAACAGAGAAATAAATAAATAAATAAATAAAGTAGATAAATAAACCAAATTTAATAAGTTAAATCTATATAAATATATATCTATATATAAATATATAAAAAAAAAATAATAATAATAATAATAATCATATTAAATAAAATGAACAATTAAATAAATTAATGAAATAAATAAAACAAACTTAGCATGAAATGAGGAAAAAAAAAATGAGAATATAAATATGAAATAAATAAATAACAAATAAATAGGATTGAATAGCAAGAAAGATTTACGATAGAAAATAGAACAATTTAAAGAATAGCATAAAAAAAAAAAAAAAAAAAAAAAAAAAAAAAAAAAAAAACTAATAATAATGTAAAATAATAATGTAGAATAATAACAACATTGTTTGTATAAGAAAAATAATCGATTGTAATCTTAGTATCCCAATGTCTAGATATTATTTAAATGAATGGAAATGAATATTATGAATAATAGGAATGAAACCAAGAACAATATGAGTCATTAATCTGGAAGAAGGGTTGAAATAATGGGGTAGGCTAGTTAGTGTTGGAGCTTCTTTGGGGTTTTTCTGGTAAAATTGTTTGTGAAAAACCATGGTTGGGTGGGTAAAGAGCGCGTGTGCCGAATGCCATCTATGGCCACGCTTAGTTGTGTCGGTGTTCTTGATGTAAATTTGTGCCCGTTCTTCCCCTAATTCCTCAGTATAATTTTTTTTTTTCGTGGAGTATAGCTCCACCTCGAGTTTAAGGGATCTTACAAATTAAAATTTATGAACTCTGATCGCAAGGCAGAAAAGAACCCCCCCACACTCCCGACGAGCGACGGCACAAGAAGGTCCCGCTTATCTGTCTTGCGACCGAAAAACAAAGCCAAGTCAGTGCTTTGTAGAGAGAGTCTCTCTGCTGAATGAACACTTTTGTTTACATAAATTTTTGGCGCCCAACGTGGGGCATGAAAGTATGCAGCTTTATAGGCATCACGCTTTCAGAGTCCCATTTTTAATGTTCAAATAATCAACACGGTCTTTTCTCTAATCGCAGAAAAAGAGTTGGCTGTTTGAAACACCCATTTTGGTGATGGTTGAAAACTCAGTGTCCAGAGTGCTGAAATAGATTGGACTTGCTTGGTCGGCCTATCGCAACTGTGACAGATGAGTCAAATCAATTCTTAATAGGGACTACGAAGCTGAAAGATTCGAGCTGAATCTCAGACCGAGAAACCCGAATAAGATAAATTCAACTTATAATAACACCTGTATCACCATGTTTGCTCGTTTGTCTTCGTATAGTTGTTATTTCATTTAGATATTATTTTAATTGTGTTTTGTAAAATTATCAGATACGATTCCAGAATATTGTATATTGGGCCCAGCTCGGATATCAATACTGATTGTTCTCTGGTAGTTGTTGCAGGGCCAAATGAGATGAATCTGGGTGCAATATAAACTCATACCCGTCTGGCCAGTAGATGTTGTTATGACAGAAGTTGCTAAATGTTGAGAGTGTTGTCTGGAACTTGTGTATATGCTGCATTGGCGTATCCTTGCCGAACACTCACACTTTAGTTAACTTTTGCATAGCAATACTCTATAACCAGTTTTAGTAGCAATAGCCCAAAATCCATTATTTCCCCTAATTGTATAATATAGCAAGAACAGCACACAACAGCACAAAACCTAGCTACCTTCCCCATTATATCAACCCAAACTTGTTACATTCATTAGCAAATTAAAAATATTTAGATACAAAATGCCTATTTCAAGAAGTCCTCAAGATATGCGCACAGTAGAGAAAACTGTTAGTTTGTGTAGTCTTTGTAGCCAAGGGATGAGCAATACCCAGCAATGTTATTGTACCCCTTGTAAGCACAATTTTCACAAGTTATGTCTAGAACAGTGGCTGGAAAATAAGCAAGAATGTCCGGAATGTCAGTCCACATTGGACCCAAGGTCAATTAAGCTGGTTATTGGTAACTGTTCACCTGACCCGAAACCAGCTTCAACATCAGCAATTCCAGGTAGTTCGCGTATGGTAACGCGTAATTTAGCCAAAGCATTAGGTGAAGTTCCGCCTGAGTCTCTAGAGCATCCCCAAGAGCGATCGCTCGAAGGCAGTGAGGTAATTATATCCGGTTTAGATGCAAGCCATAATTCTGACCGAAACGTAGTTCCTCCTCCAAGAGGCATTAGTACCCGCCGACGAGGCCGACCCAATCGAGCCGGCCATACTCGTCAAGAATCGGCAGGCGTTGATTATAATATAATTCAGCAAATGATCGAGCAGTCAGTCACTCGTGTGATGTCGGCGCTCCGTATTGATTCACGGCCCAGCTCAAGCGAGCAGCTGCCGTCTATTCCGACTCCTATGGCATACTCGCCAGGAGGTTCGTCTGTCCAAAGCAGAAGAACAGCTGACATTATGCAGAAATGGAATCTCCATTTTGATGGGTCATCTGAAGGACTAGGAGTGGAAGAATTTATTTATCGTGTGAGAGTCCTTACTGACGAAACTCTCGATAGTGATTTTATGGGGCTTTGCAAACATTTGCACATTCTTTTCTCTGGGAAAGCTAGAGATTGGTTCTGGAGGCACCATAAACAGGTAGATAGAATTGTATGGAATGATTTTTGTGCAGCACTTCGACAGCAATATAAAGATTATCGCTCAGAATTTATGAGTAAAGAGTTAGTGAGAGCTAGAAAGCAAAAGGTCGGTGAATCTTTTGTCGCTTTTCACGATTCGGTGGCTGCATTAATTGATAAATTTGGCCTCAAAATAGGCGAAGAAGAATTATTAGAAATTCTGCAAAATAACCTGTTGCCTGAGATGCGGCACAAGTTACTGTACCAATCTATCAGTTCCGTTGGCCATTTGCGTAGGTTAGTGCAAATGAGCGAAAATTTAACAAATGACCTTATAAGTCAATCCGACAATTTCTCTCGACCAAAAACTGTTGCGTTTCGTCGTCAAATTAATGAAATCGAGAATACTGGTCTCGGAATTGAGGTGGAAGAAGAGACAGATTCAGCAGAGTTAGAAATTGCAGCGATGCAAAAAGCCCATTCCAACTTGACATGCTGGAACTGTGAAGAAAAGGGACATGTCTGGGAAAATTGCCTGAGGGATCGTAGAGTCTTTTGTTATGGTTGTGGCACACCACAGGTATACAAGCCACAATGTAAAATTTGTATCCGTAGGTTAGCGGAAAACCAGCAGAAGGGGACATCCCCCAAAAATCGGATGCCCCCGAATTAATAGACCCAATCAGCAACAATCTCGCGTCATCATTACAATCTTCAAATGAAATTGATGCACGGGTGCTTGATCTCCGTTTTCTCCCATACAAGGACAAGCTATCTAAATATCTTGAAATACGAAGAAGAATTTTTAATGAACCAAATTCGGTTACGAGTAAGCGTAGTGCAAGGTTGAGAAACTATTATAATGAAATAAAAAGTAGTCGTAGATTAGTAATCTCAAACATATTTAGCAATCAAAAAGATATGCGCAGTTATGCGAAAGTATCTTTTTGAATTTTCAAGAATCAGGCTTACTAGATACTGGCGCAAATATCAGTTGCATTGGCGCTACTCTAGCGAAAAATGACTTTTCAAAGAGTCCTTGTTTCAAGTCGCTCAAATCTTTTGTAAAAACTGCAGGTGGTGAAAATCAAGCAGTCATAGGAGTTTTGAGTGTTGTCATGCAATATAAAACAATATCAAAGCCCATGAAACTGTACGTTATCCCAAACATTAAACAGAATTTAATTCTCGGCCATGACTTTTGGAAAACATTTGCCCTTGCTCCAGATATTATCAGTGCTGTAGAAGCAGACCTCGATGTTGTTGGCGATGATGTTGAAGGTAAATATCCACTAACAAGCCTTCAGTTACAACAGCTCAATGCAGTTAAGCAGTTGTTTCCCAATGCTGCAGAAAAGTTAGGTCGCACTTCACTTATCAAACATCACATTGACGTGGGAGAAGCAATGCCAGTAAAGCAACGTTTTTATCCTGTTAGTCCTGCAGTCGAGCAGTTGCTATATAAAGAAATCGATCGGATGATTAGCCTAGGTGTGATAGAGCCCTCAACCAGTGCATGGAGTTCCCCTATGAGATTAGTTGTAAAACCAAACAAAGTTCGTCTT